TCAGTGACAAAGTGGAGACTCACAGAGTGGTCTGTAATGGGATTTGTCTGCTGTCTATTGTATCAGCCTAAGACGCTGGGCGTGTGAGGCTAGGCTGCAAAGCTGGAGCCTACAGGAGACAGGGCATCTGAGAATCTCAGTGCTACTGTGTTAGGGACCTTTGGGGGTCACGGAGTACGGCCCCTTTCGTTTTCCAGAGCCCACACTGAGGCTCTGAGAGGGCCAGGGGCTGGCCCAACTCTGCAGAGCCTGTCTGTGGCAGTGCCCGAAGGAGAAGGCTCCTAGCTTCCCCCGAATTCTCTCTTGGAGTTTTTCCTGGCTCAAGTGATTTGTCTGGGAAAACCGATTAAGGAAATTCAATTTCCCTAAAGCTGGTTCGACAGGACTTGAGTTGGATCAAAGCGGGTGTGGAAGGAATTAGAAAGGATGGGTGAATGGGGAAGACCACAGACTCGGGAGCAGAACCTTGGCACTGCTGAGGAATAGTGTGGGACCTCAAGCAAGTGACCCCCCAGCCTTGGCACCTCTGTGATCTGGAAGAAACACCAAGGGGACTGGGTTCCTTAATCCCTAAAACACTCTAGCCGTGGTGTAATCCACTTCTTTAAAAAAATTTTTTTTTCAACGTTTATTTATTTTTGGGACAGAGAGAGACAGAGCATGAGCGGGGGAGGGGCAGAGAGAGAGGGAGACACAGAATTGGAAGCAGGCTCCAGGCTCTGAGCCATCCGCCCAGAGCCCGACACGGGGCTCGAACTCACGGACCGCGAGATCGTGACCTGGCTGAAGTCGGACGCTTAACCGACTGCGCCACCCAGGCGCCCCATCCACTTCTTGGCTGTAAGACGCCCAGACCTCTGTTTTCCATTCCGCAAAATGGGCATGCCCACAGCGTCCACCTTGTGGATCTGCAGTGAGTCATAAAGCCCCTCCATTTTTAGAGCTGCAATCTTGGAACTGCTCTGCGTTAGTGATTCTTATACTAGAAGTAACCACAGGAGAAGTTTCCTCCACTAGTCCAGCTTGAAATATTTGTGATGGGTGTACCCATCTTCTATAGCTTGCCATTCTCATGTAATTTCTTCTAAATCCACACCAGCGTTCAGGCTTTGGATCCAACTAGAGTTGCCGGTAAACTACAGAACACCCAGTGAACCCTGAATTTCAGATACACAAAAATTTCACTGGTTTAGTATAAGGATATCCCAAATATGACATGGGATATACTTGCACTAAAATTTGTGTCATTGTCGGTCGGCAATTACATTTACCTAGCATCCTGTACTTTTGTTTGCTAAATCTGGAAACCGGAGCACCAAGCCAGGTTTGTGTCTCAGATTTTAGTTTGGGGGAAAGTGTCCTGTCTTTCATGCTCCATCTGATGAGTTTAAGGCAGGCGGGATTTCACTTGTGGCTTTGAATTTCTTCACATAGTAAGAATGGAGGCAATAGCTTCCCCTCTGAACTCAGCTGTCCTGTGGCTCAGTTTCCCAAATGTTGCTAGCACCGTGGATCGGAACAAAGGAAGCGGGGGGGTTTGCAACACACATGATTATTTTGGTTTATGGGCATGATGTTTGAGCCTTGGTTCCAGACATTGCTGGCGAGAGAACCCAGATAAAGAGCATCAAAGGTGTGATGCTAGAACGACCTGAAAATTGAAAGGGCATCAGAATTCATACTGATAAGAGAATAAAGAGGAGATCTGCAGATGTCTAAATTCCGAGGGATAAGTCTAAGTCGTTGGGTCTGGAAGGCATCCTGGGTGCTGAAACCTTTCTACCTCAGTGTATTGTTCTGTTAAATGGGGTATAGTATGACCTCAAGGCTTCTTATCTACCTTATCTACCCACATCTCTCATTAACCTTTAAAATACAGGTCTCATGGGGCGCCTGGGTGGCGCAGTCGGTTGAGCGTCCGACTTCAGCTCAGGTCACGATCTCGCGGTCCGGGAGTTCGAGCCCCGCGTCGGGCTCTGGGCGGATGGCTCGGAGCCTGGAGCCTGTTTCCGATTCTGTGTCTCCCTCTCTCTCTGCCCCTCCCCCGTTCATGCTCTGTCTCTCTCTGTCTCACAAATAAATAAAAACATTGGAAAAAAAAATAAAATACAGGTCTCTAGGCTGGGAGTTAAAATCACTGTCTTCTGGTTCTGCAACATAGGGGGCAAATGATCCCTTTTCGCTAGGATTATACCCAGGTTAGCCACCTGCAGAGAATTTTCTGGAAGTGCCCCAAAGTCACATGGTTTGTTGGCACATGTGGCTTATTGAACAAGGCACCACGACTTCCTGGGAAAGTCACTTGCTCCCCATCCAAGCCCAGAATCTGATTGTATTTACCCAACTCTCCCTACAGTCTTTCATTTTAGAGAAGATGAGACTGACATTCTGAGGGGGGCTGCAATATATACCCAAGGCAGACAGTATTATACCCATATAGCAGATGGGAAAATAGAGAAGCAGAGAGGGTTAGTGGGAAAATCTCCTCTCTGAGCCTCAGTTTCCTCATCTGTAGAAGGGGCTAACTCGATCCCCTTTGCAAGGCTGTTCTTGGCCGTCGGATGAGATGCTACATAGATAGCCCTGGGTGCGGCGCTTAACGGATTTAATTAACAGGAACTAGTGTAGTACATGTAAGAGATCGATATAACTAAGTAGTCATATAACCCATAACTTTCCGAGATCTTTTTAAAAACTAACCCTTAAAGAGTCTGTCCCATAAAATAAAATAAACTGAAACTGTCATGTACTATTTATTTGAACCAATGTACTATGCACCGGCTTGTGGGGTAGATGGGGATGTGTATACGTACATATGCATATATATGCAGTATTGTCATTTGTCCTCTTGGGTACATTGAATAAATTTCGTATCTTAAATCCACGTATGGTTAAACACATTGGATCTGCTAAGTGTATTACGCAGGTTAAATGAAAGGCAGTGTGCTGATGAACTGTGGGTTCATTCCTTTGGCCTCTCTCACTCTTCCACCGTTACCGAGCCCAACTGGGCATCAAACAGTTATGGTTACTGATCCTTGGTGATTCTTGCCTCCCCCCGACTCCCCACGCTGTCCCTTCTACTGTTGCTTGTCCCAGCCTCCCCCTTCTTGGCGATCGGAACCTGTATTCCCAGCTTGACCCCTGCGGGCTTTCCTATGCCTCTCTGTCCGGTTTTGTCTTTATCTTCCCTCAGGCACTCATGCCAAAGATAAAAGGACTTCATCAGGGTTCAGGAAGCCAGGGAAAGGTAAGCGGCTTGGCTTCAGCACCTGACACGTAGTAGGTGCTCTGCACACGTTTGCTGAACGAAGCGGTGCATGTAAAGAGCGTGACAAGACACCTGCTACGATCACTGCCATCAGTCTCCCTCTTCAGGAAGACCCTTAAGGCCAAGACGGAGACTTATCCATCCCTGGTTCTCCACCGTCTACACTCGTGCCTGTCGTTCAAAGGGCCATCAACCCACTAGGGAATGGATGGATGTTGGGTGCATTCTGGGGACCAGAATTTCTTCCTTCTATGGCTCATTGTCTTAGGCCTCGGCATCTTCGTCTTGGAGCCTTGTCTCGAGCTGCCTAGGTGTGCTGAGTTGGGGTCGGATAAATGTGCAATCTTAATGAATATTTAAGTGCTTCTGCTCTCTCTTTTGTAATTTGAGGGGATTCCTTTTTATCTTCTTCTTCCAGGAAGTCAAGGGCGAGAAGCCTTGAATATGCGTTGGACTAGATGAATTTTGTGAAATATTAATTAGCACTATACAAATATCTGGGATTAGCAATCGACCAAGAAGCTAGCTCCCTTGGTTCCAGACTTCCTGGAATAGCAAAGAAGCCCCCCACCTGAAGCTTATGGATTTAGAAGACCCCCTTCTGACTCCAGAGTGAGCTAGAAACTTTTCCATATAACAGAATAATGATCTTGGAGCCACATATTCATGGCATCTGTAGTTAAAGAACATTCTCTTTTAGCTCAGTCATACCCCCTAATAAGAACGACCACTGGCAAGACTGGGCTGCAATCAACCCATTTGTGGGATGAGAAAACTGAGGCCTGAGTATATAAAGTGCTTCATTTTCTTTTCCTTATTTTTTAAAAGAATTGTTTAATGTTTATTCGTTTTTGAGAGACAGAGACAGACAGAGTGTGAGTGGGAGAGGCACAGATAGAAGGAGAGACACAGAATCGGAAGCAGGCTCCAGGCTCTGAGCTGTCAGCACAGCGCCCGACACGGGGCTCCAACGCACCAACCGTGAGATCGCGACCCGAGCTGGAGTCAGACCCTTAACCGACTGAGCCACCCAGGTGCCCCCTAAAGTGCCTCTTTTTCTAAGAGTCTCCTTCCTGGATCAAGATCAGAAGAGACAGAAAATCGTATCGTAATAATGTTATGACCGATGGACCTACTGCCACCAATAAGACACTGGACACTCTTCTCTTCAGGCATGAACTCCTATCGTCCTCACAACAACTAAAGGAGGGTTGGGCTAGAAGTTGCAGATGGAGGAACCAAGGGGCAGGGAGACGAGGCAATTTGACTAAGGTCACGGCAAGGATTCCAACTCAGGTGTGCCCAACTCTAGAACAGCATGTTTGAGCACTTCTGTGTTCTGAGTGATGGCGGCTGGGCTTGCGGGGGTCTTTAACTTGAATCCGCGGACCCCCAACAAGCCCAGGGATGGACTTCGGAGGCTCTGTGAGCCCTTTGAAATCGCACTCACTAATTTCCCTGTTTGTGTGCATTTTTTGTTTGTTTGTTTGTTTGTTTTGAGGGAGAGTCCTCAGTAGATTATCAAGGGGGTCTGTGACGTGCAGATTAGGAACCGCGAGCAGGACCAGAATTGGCACCCGGGGAGAAGAAGCATTTGCCAACATCAGAACCACCCAGATGGTCCACCCAATTCATACTCTGCCACCAGATAGAGTTCTTTTCATTTTTGAAATCCGGTCCCTGCCTCTTAGCAATTTCTTCTGGATGAAACTGAGTAAGTCAAGGAGCCATTGGAAGCTGTATTAAGCAAGGCCAGTGGGGCCCAGCATTCCTCAGGCCTGGAAGAGCTGGAATTGCCCAGCTTGCCCCAGGATCAAAGAGACGAGGCAACCCCTTCATCACCAGGTTTCCACATCAGCACTGTTGAGGGCAGGAAGATGTCAAGGGGGAAAGCTTTCTTTGAAGTGTCAAGATAAGAATCATCTCCACCTCCCTTCAGTGTGAAAGTCATTCCTCTAGGAGCCAGGGGAGGGTGTGAGGCATTCGGCTGTCTGTACGAAAGCTGGGAGGAACTTATCAACTGAGGCAGACACCTTCCTGACTCCAGACTGTGTCTGGACCCGGCCTACAATCTCCAGCGAACGTCAGTCCTCACAAACATATGAAACGTGGAGCCGTGTTAACCACTTTTCCAATGCCATCCCACCTAGAACTGCACCTGCATGGGCTTTACTGCTGAATCGTTGACTACAGACAGCCTAGCACTCGGGGGGACCAGTGAGAGCTTGCACCTTGGGCTGGGTGAGCTGGGGTAAGTTACTTAACCTCTCTGAACCTCGGGTTCAATGGGAGTTACAATAAGAGCCCCTCTCTCTAGGGTTAATTGGAGAACTCAATGAGACTATCCAAAGTAACCATTTCCTTTTGCAGTAGCTGGTGCAGAGGCACATTGAAAAAATTTTAGTTGATATGTTTCCTTACTGTCTGGCTCAAGACAGCTGATCCAGGTGGGCTTCAGAGTCCAAATAGCTGATTATACAAGACTTGCCCACAAATATTTTGCCCAATATTTTAAGTGCTTTGAGTTGAAGGATAAGACCTCATTTATCTTACTCTTTCAATATGGCCGGCAGGATGCAGTAGGTCAGAGCAGACGTCCAGCATTTAAAGCCTGGCTTCACAATCTGACGACCGTGAACATTAGGAAGTTATTTGGCTTCCCTGTGACCTGGCTTCCTGATCTGTGAAATGGGGACATTTGATGGACAGTCATTATTTGGGTTGAATGAATTCTCATATTAGCAATTAAGACGGTGGTTGGTGTCTCACAAGCGCTCCGTAAGCGTTGGTTTCAATGTGCGCCTCCCCCTTCCGCAGGCTCCCATCGATAACCAAGAGCTGTTGGCTAAATGGAATTTATTGAAAACCTTAAGTGTCCCCCACATGGGGTTCTAGGCTTCCAAAGCATCTATTGGCCTTGCTCCTAGGATGCTTAAATTTTAACTGAAGAATTAATATATCCTCATCAAGTCGCTCATTCAAGGAATTTGAGGTCCAAATCCAGGCTAGGTGGTTAGTCCTTCTATTACATCGAGAGCTTTGCGCTCTGACCTTCATACGGGTTCCTTTCTCTGCCCCCGAACACCCTGGGACACCACCACTGCCCTTCCTTTACAGCCTGCTAACATTTTCAATTCCTTTAGGTGTCAGCTTAAATGTCACCTCTTGTTGGAAGCCATCCTTGACTCTGGATTAAGTTAGATCCCTCTATCTGATGCCCCCCACACCCTACTTCTTCTACCCTGTTTTGAATGACAGAGTTAATCTCTGACTTCCACATTCTCCAGATCCATAAAGGGAAGCTCCATAATTTGCTCTTCTTTTCCCATATCCCCAGTATCAAATGCAGTGCCAGGCACCCCCAAGTACGCCAAAAATATTTGTGGACAGATGAATAAAAGGGAATTTCTGTGTGTGGATTTCCCCTGTTGGAAGGTATTATATTCTCACAGCATCTCCATGGTAAATGGCACCTCCACCTTGCAAAGTGTAGCAACAGTGAGTGATGCCGCGTTTAGAGCTTACAAAGCCCTAGTTGCCTTTCAGATGGAGAAACTGAGTCTGAAGAGGTATAGCCATTCATCCAACTGCACTTAACGGGCAGAGGGGGGACAAGAATCTGAGAATCTTCCAAAGGACAAAAAAAAAAGTTGAATTCTCTCACTAAAGTCAACTACTCATTTAGCAGGGAATAATTAGGACTCCCCTACTGGAGACAGAGGACATCGAGGTGGTGAATTGTGACAAAGTAGCTTTCTCATTAGAGGCAGGCCCTGGGCTATAGCAAGAAAAAACTTAAAACACGGGCTACAAAAAAATACGGACTCAAATCCCGTGGATCCTAAGATAACCGCAATGTCTTCATTTTTAAGCGGGTGACATGATCATTTCTTTTAGGAATTTTGTATTTAATACGCACGAACGCATGCGTTGTAGAATAAAGAACTTGGCTGACCTCTCTCCCTGATTCCTGAGTGGTGGACTCTAAATCTTTGCAATTTCCCGAGTCAGAGGAATGTCTTTGTAATTCATGAGCCCCCTGGATCACACCTGAATTTATGCTAAGAGTTGAGGTGACTCAGGATGGGGACCGGTCAACCGGAAAGACCAACCGCGTGATTAGAGGGTTGCCTCACCTGGTATAAGAGGAGGGCAGCCGGAGACTGAGCTCGGACACGTGTCCAGTGATTCAATCATTCATGCCTATGTAATGAAACCCCAATAAAGACTCTGGACACCAAAGCTTGGTGGAAGTTTCTGTTTGGTGAACAAATGATATCCAGTGAGGGTGATGCACCCCGCTTCCAAGGGGAGAGGGCATCAAAGTTCTGCCTTTGGAATCCTCCCCAGCTTCCCTCCCAGGTCTCTTTGTTCGGCTGCTCTTGATCTGTACCCTTTATAAGAAAAATGCCATCAGGCGTATAGCACTTTCTTAGCTACAGCACTCTGCCAATCATTCTTATGAATTATCAAATACGAAGAAGGCATGGGAACCATCCCTTATTTTTAGCCAGCTTGTCAGAAGTGTGGGTGGCCTGGGGATCCCCAAGCTCGTGGCTGGCAACTGAAGGGAGGACAGCCCTGTTGAGGAATGCACCTTCCACTCGTGGGGTCTGCACTAACTCAAGGTGGTTAGCATCAGAATTACATCAGCACAGCAGCAGATGGGGTGCCCATAAGAGACTGTGGCCACAGTGGTTTTGCCTTTGTGGCCTGTCTTCCCCGTTTCCCTCCTCTCGTGGTCTCAGAACCCCTCTTCTCTGCTGGCCACCCATTTCATGGGGTTTGGTCAGGGTTGACAATCTTCTCTCCCCATCACCACATTAGTGGGCGCTTAACTGAGACCAAAGTACTCAAAGTCTTCCTGGTCTTTTCTCCAAGAAAGAGGGTGGCTCTCAGCTGAAGAATGTGAACTGAGAGCCTCCACTGGCCACCAAGTAGGCCATATGGAGGGAGTCTGTCTCCGGGTCGGAGAGAAGGACAGCCTGACGAATCCAGGAGTCCTGGGTCAAGTGGTACTTTGGGGCAGTTTCCAGTTACATGAACCAATAAATTCACCTCTGCCATTTCTTTCTTTCTTTCTTTCTTTCTTTCTTTCTTTCTTTCTTTCTCTTTCCTGCTGAAAGTAATTGGACTTGGGTTTCTATCAGCTCCAAACAGGATTCCTGACTGTTACGGTATCTGACATCATGACTTCCATATAGTAAATATTCACCCATGGTAGGCGTATTTCTAAAATGTGAAAAATTGGCTAAAAATCCCCAAATTTCCCTTTTTTATTTATAGCCCACAACCACCCACACTGCTCCCCTCAGTGAATGACAGTGTCGATGACCAAAGATTCTTCTCTCTGTGTCTGTTGCGAAGTGGCATCGAATTCCTCCACGCTGGAATTTCCCCGCTGGCCCTACTGATTTGTCTGACTGGCAGAAAGTGGTGAAAGGGATATTCTGGGATGGCTTAGACTCCATCTTAGGAATCCTTGAGTTGCTGCCCAGCTTCTGTTCCTGCTGTGGAGGGAGTCTGATTGCCCTGAGACTTCCGTGCTGGGTGGGGATGGGGGGACACATAGAAGCTTTGAGATAACATGAAGAGACAGTAATGCCCAACCAGCCCCCAGATGGTCCAGCCCGCCAGTAGAGAGACCCCGGGCAAGGTGTGACACAAAGGCAAGTCATCCCCACCGAATCCCGCCCCGATAACAAGCTCACAGGCAGACTCACGAGCCCCCGGGTTTTAGGGTGGTTGGCTATGCGCAACAGATAAGTGGGACAGACGGTAGTAACAGTTCACCTTTCCTCAGTGGCTCCCAGATGCCCAGGTGCTTAAGAGGCGCCATCTTGCTGATTCATCAAGAATCCCAAGAAGTATTCCTGTTATCGCCACTTGAGGCAGGAGGAAACCAAGAATCAGAGAGATGACGTCACATGCACCAGGTCACACGGCTAGGAAGTGATAGAATCAGGACCTCAGCCTCTCGGATCCTTAGCCACCACACTCTGTTGTCCCTTGATTATGCTGTGAAAAACAGCAGGTTAACCCCCTTCTGACATTTGGTCCAAACCACAGAGTTTCTGTCTTAAACAGACCCCTGGCAGGACCCAGCCTACTCCAAGGGGGAGAATTTATTCATAACCCTGTGGACAAAGTTAAGAGCAACTAACTAGGCACGCATGGTCCAGAACACTCTGGAAAATCAGGAAAATGCCATCTGCCCCTCTTAAGCCTGCAAGGTCGTCAGCACTTGGCAAGAACTGAAGCATCAGGGAGAGCTACAATAGGACATGGGGCTTTTCTTACAGCAAAGCAGCCACTTCAAGCCTGCCACTTGGAACAGAGGAGCCGGAGGAAGAAATACCCCAGCCTCTCTCCCCTCCCTCCTTCCCAGCTGGTGCCTCCCACTGGCTAAACCCACATAGAAACCCCAGGGTAAGGGAGCACACTGAGGCAGCCTGTGTTGGCCAGTTCCTTGGGCACAGAGCAGAAAGGAGGAGGGTACAGAGTGGACCCCCGGCAAACAGCACAGCCCCAGCTGGTCATGGCTTCCCTCTTTCCCACACTTGGTACAGGTGGAAATTAGACCTTCCCAAACGCTGATGAAAATACATGAGCTATATTGTCCTCTTGGGGGTTATGGAGTAACTAAACCCCACACTCAACTCCATCGGCTTCTGTCACCTTCCTAGAGCTCATTTCCAAAAGGAAATAACACCTGCCCCAAATCTCCACCTGCCACGGCCACCTCTCTGAACCCCCAGCTGCCAGGGGCTGACAGTAAGTCACAGAAGCATATTGATTTCTCAAGGGAAAGATGAGCAAAGTGAATACAGAACTCCTCCGTGCACAGGATGAGAAACCTTGTCCAGGAAGGAAAATGAGGTAAGCTGGAAAGGGGGCAGGGGAGGCTGGGATAAACCCTTGCAGCCACAGGCTTTTCCGAGGCAAGGAAGAGATCTAAAGAATGTTCTCTATACTGCATACAGTCTACAGTCAATGAAAGAACTTCTGGGCTTTGCATTTGACTTCATTATATGCTTTTTGATTTCCTGGGTAGCAGACGGCTATTAATTAGTTTTTGTTCAGGTTAATCCAGCTTTTCATTCACAGACTTATTTTCTCCCACTAAGAGTTTAAATTTAAATGTCACCGACAACAAAAAAAATTTTTTTTTAAATGTCACTAACAACCTGGGTAATTTAGGGTCCAAACCCTCAACGGTCAGGGAATTATAACTAATGAATAATATGTTCAGCTAATTTAATTCTAGAAGCAGCTTATTAACATATCAAAAGACTTTAAAAAGTGCACCCTCTTTGACCCTAAAATTTCCTGTCTAGCACATGGCTTTTTTTTGTTTTTGCCCTAAAGAAATGATTATGGATGTGCACAGATATGCAGTTCAAAAGGTGCTCACTGAATTATTGCTTCGGTTAGCAAAGACTGGGAACGAATCTAAGATTTAATAACAAAAAACGATCATGGCACTGCTAATAATAACAGCCATAACAATGATCGTGTTCAACATTGAGTGTTTCCCATGTGCCCGGACACTATTTTAGGCTATTATTAGCCTAATGTATTAGCTCATTTCATCCCCACAACAACCCTGTGAGGTTGGTAGCCTCAGTTGGCCCACTTTAGAGGTAAGAAAACTGAGGCACGAAGAGATTAGACAACTACCCAAAGTTGCACAGCTTGTGAGCACGGAGCCAGGGAAGTTCATGCTCAACGTGTGCCAGGCCCGGGGCAAGAGAAAACACGGGAGGCCTACAGGCCATTGGAAAAGTTACAAATCTAGCTAATCAACCGTCAAGTCTTGGGTTTTCTATCCTCAAGTCTGGACAAATAGGTGAGGCCACGTCTGAGTGTCGAATCCTTAGGCTCCTTGGAGTTCTGTGGCCGGGTGTGGTGGCACGGGACGGACACAGCCGGCCACCTGCTCCCTTTCTCCCACCCCTGGCTCCAACCCACGCTGTTGAGGGGCCACCTGCACACATGTGTGGACAGGCTGGCCAGCACATCCAAGCTTTACCCAAGACCCCTCCATCAGAGACAGAGACGGCGTGAGTGGGAGAGGGGCAGAGAGAGAGGGAGCGAGACAGAATCCCAGGCAGGCTCCGTGCTGCCAGCGCAGAGCCCAACATGGGGCTCAAACTCACAAAACTGCGAGACCGTGACCTGAGCAGAAACCAAGAATCGGATGCTTAACGGACTGAGCCACCCAGGCGCGCCCCAAGACCCCTCCGTCTTAGACAGGGGCCCCTGACATCCTTCAGATCTATGAGCACACACCCTGGAAGCATAGTTGTTCCTCAGGAGGCCACGCCCAGATAAAAACAAGCACAGGCCCTAGACGATTCGGGGTTGCCAGGGCAAGAGATTCGGAGACCCCAGGTACAGGAGTGTGGTTTGGAAGGGGATGTGGGTTCTGCAAAAGTGCATCTCCTCACTGCATAGACTACTCAACCACCCCCCTGGGAGGGCTGGGGGAAGGGGGGGAGGACCAGCACAGGATCCTCTCGAGTGTGAGGCCAGAGTACGCATTTCCTTTACACAAGTGGAACCATGATGTTAAAGCCAGCATTTGGGCCCCAGTAACCTCCATCCAGAGCCTGTCCACTTAACTAACGTGCCCCTCAAGATGAGATTCTCGAAATAAACTGTAGTACATCCATAAAGGTATATACTATTCCACCATTAAAAAAAGGATATATGGGGCACCTGGCTGGCTCAGTGGGTTGTGTCTGACCCTTGATTTCAGCTCAGAACAGGATCTCGCTGTTGGTGACGCTGAATCCCGCATCGGGCTCCGTGCTGGCCGCAGAGCCTGCTTGGGATCCTCTCTCTCCCTCTCTCTGACCCTCCCCCATTCATGTTCCGTCTCTCTTTGTCTCAAAAATAAATAAACGTTTAAAAAAAAAATAAAAAACAAGAGAGTCTATTAGCGCAATTTTCCAACCGTATCTGCTCGCTTTGTGTCTCTGTGTCACCTTTTGGTCATTCCCGCAATATTTCAGACGTTTTTCTCATCATCACATTTGTCGTGGTGATCTGTGATCAGTGATTACAACTTACTGAAAGCTCAGATGATGGTTAGCATTTTTCACCAATGAAGTATTTTTTAAATTCAGGTGTGTACATTGTTTTTTAGGTGTAACGCTATGGCACGCGTGACTGCCTACGGGGTGGCCTAAACGCAACTTTAAAAAAAAATGTCTTTTTCACGTTTATTTTTGAGAGACAGAGGCGGGAGGGGCAGAGGGGGGAGGGGCGGGGGGGGCGGGAAGACACAGAATCCCAAGCGGGCTCCAGGCTCCGAGCGTGACGCGGGGCTCGAACCCACCAACCACGAGATCATAACTTAAGCTGAAGCCCTACGCTCAACCAACTAACGGAGCCACCCAGCAGCCCCTAAACCAAAAACCAAAAAATTCATTTGGCTCCTTTGATTGCAATACATTATTACAGATCACAATATCCCCGATGGGCAAGCACTCCTTGCCCACCAGATTACAAGAGACCATACCGGACCCTGTAGGAAACACCAAGATAAAAGAGACAACACTGCCGAGAGGCGGAATTTAGTGCACCGTCCTCGGGGCAAACGCACTTCCCGTCCACACAGGGAAACTACATTTCCCAGCTTCCCTTGCAGCTAGGTTGGAGTCACATGACTGAGTTTTGGCCAATGGGAAGTGAGCAGGAGTCGTGGAAGCCATTCCCCCATCTGACCCCCTCCCCCAAACGTGTTCCCTGTGACTCTCTGGTCCCCTCTTCTGTTTTGATCTCAGAGGCCACGTATTCCAGAGGGCAGGCCTACGAAATGGGGGAGCCCTGCCTGAACCTGCATCACCACTGAATGAACAGAATGACCAACACCGCGGTTTGCCTTGGGACGCTGGAGTTCCGGGTCTCAGGACTGTCAGCAAGTAATTTTTTTTTTTTTAAGTTTTTATTTATTTATTTATTTTGAGAAAGAGAGAGAGAGAGAGAATGCACATGCACAAGTGGGGGGAGAGGCAGGGAGAGAGGGAGAGGATCTGTGCCATCAGCACAGAGCCTGCCACGGGCCTGATCCCACCAACCCAGGATCGGGACCGTAACCAAAATCAGGAGTTACGAGGCTCCACTGACGGAGCCAACCAGGGGCCCCGGGGCGGAGCTGTTTACACCTCCAAATACAACAGTCCTGGGGGAAGTGCGACGAGCTGGTCACTTACATGAGTCAAGAATAAAGTTGTATGCTGTTCACCCTCATAGCACAGATCTTTTTTTTTTTTTTTTAAGCTTATTCATTTATTTTGAGAGAGACGGAGACAGCATGAGTGGGGGAGGGACAGAGAGCGAAGAGGGAGAGAATCCCAAGCAGGCTTCAAGCCGCCAGTGCAGAGCCTGAGGCAGGGCTCAAACCCGCGAAGCCCCGAGATCGTGACCTGAGCCAAAATGCAGGCGGACGCTTAACCGACCCAGCCACCCCAGGTGCCCCATATCACAGATCTTTAGATTAGCCTGATACAGCAGTAAAGCCTAGTCCTTCCCAACTACGCTAACAGGAAACACTCGGGACTTAAAAGGCTGAGTGTTCCAGGCGAATGCTTAGTTCCAGTACAAGGAGCTATGCACCCTTGTGCCCTGTGACGCTTCCCTCTAATTCCCTGGACAGTGGTTCCCCGATCCGTCCAAGAGAGACGACAACACAACCTATCCCCTCCCCCCCCCGGTGGCATTGTGACAAGTAATATGTAGTTGTGTCAAACTCTTTGCAGCTATAAATCACTGTGCAAAGTGCATTTGTATCATGATTATGGTGACTGTCTACTACGTGGCTTGGATTCAATGCTAGGGATGAATTGATGAACAAGACGGAGCTTCTGTCCCCCAAGATGGAAAAGTATGTAGATATAGATGAGGAATGGTAAGAGGGAGAGATGGACAAATTACTAGTTAATTACTAGTTAACTACCAGTTAAAACTACTAGTTAATGTAGGTAACTACCAGTTAAAACTACTAGTTAATGTAGGTACCTGCTAGTTAAAGTAGATAACTAGTTAAAACTACTAGTTAATGTAGGTAACTACCAGTTAAGACTACTAGTTAATGTAGGTACCTACTAGTTAAAGTAGATAACTAGTTAAAACTACTAGTTAATGTAGGTAACTACTAGTTATTGTGGGTAACTACTAGTTATTGTGGGTAACTACTAGTTAAAACTACTAGTTATTGTAGGTTTGGGGTTTTTTTTTAATTTTTTAAAAATGTTTATTTATTTTTGACAGAGAGAGAGAGAGAGAGAGAGAGAGAGAGAGAGACAGAGCATGAAAGGGGGAGGGGCAGAGAGGGAGACACAGAATCCAAAGCAGGTTCCAGGCTGTGAGCTGTCAGCCCAGAGCCCCGCGTGGGGCTCGAACTCACAGAGGGTGAGATCATGACCTGAGCCGAAGTCGGGCCCTCAACCGACTGAGCCACCCAGGCGCCCCAATGTAGGTTTGTTTCTTGGTGTTTCTCATGGTTTCGGTCACCTAACATCACCTGAAAAATTTACCTTTCTTTCGAGGATTCCCCACATGATAAGCCCCTTCTGAAGACAGAAGCTAGACTCATTTTCCAGCCTCCCTTGCAGCTAGAGATTTGGCCCATGTTCTACCAAACACTCCCTACATTAAAAAAAAAAAAAAAAAAAAAAAGCAGGCTTGCATAAAAGCCATCATTTTGTGAGGATGGAAGTGAAAATGTCCCAATTTTCAGGCAAGGAGAGCTTTTGATATCTGGCTCCCAGTTTCCCTGGTAAGAATTGTAGAGTTGATCAGCCAGGTCACGATCTCGCGGTCCGTGAGTTCGAGCCCCGCGTCAGGCTCTGGGCTGATGGCTCAGAGCCTGGAGCCTGTTTCCGATTCTGTGTCTCCCTCTCTCTCTGCCCCTCCCCCGTTCATGCTCTGTCTCTCTCTGTCCCAAAAATAAATAAAAAAACGTTGGAGAAAAAAAAAAAAAGAATTGTAGAGTTGAGAACAGTAGAGTGAGAACTGGAGCGTGAGCATGAGCTGTAGTATCGGTAGCAAGAGAGGATTTGCAGGTTTCGCTGGGGCATGGTAGTGTGGTCTGGATGTTATCCTTGGTTATCTATGCTACATGTTTGACCCTCCGGCCCTCCTGGAGATGCTGTGAGTCACGTAGTATCTTTTAACAAACGTATATTCCGCTGAGACCAGCTAGATTGGTCTCAATCGTTCACAAGCAACAACAGTAATTAGATAGAAAGATGCATAGATAGCTAGGTGGACAGGTCTTTTACCCCTCTGGCAGATAACAATGAACCCTAAACAAAATATTGGGAAGAAAAGCTACCTGAAGGCACTGGAGAGTGACTGACTGTGGAAAGAAAGGAACTGCCTTCGGTGACCGTCCTGTTCCCATTGCTTCTAGCCTGGGAGCAGTCACTGACCTGCACCAACCCAAGAAAAGGAAAACCCAGGGAGGAAGTGCCCTCCACTGTGTGTATCACCTCTGCCCAGATGGGTAGCGGACCCCGGAACACGCAGGAGAAGATCCCAAGCAGCCGAGCAAAGGCTTTTAGCTGCTGCCTCCCAAAGGTGGAGAGGCCGGCAGCCCAGTAGAACGGAACAGACTTCCGAGTTTGCACAAGATGGCATTGACGAGATCCAGGAGGCCGTCCAAAATCCCTCAAGAGACAAATGAGCAGTTGGACCTAAAATAAGCCTTTCTCCCTTCACTTGTTTCCACAAACACCTGCTGGGCTCCTCGTAGGTGCCAATCATGCTGAATGCTGGGGACGCAATTATGAACCCAGTTCTGCTCCCTCATGAACACGTGTTCGTGGAGCCCCTCCTGCTACCCCGCGGTGTCAGCTCCTTTACTGGACTGGAGTATAGCACCACACATGAGGGGAAGTATCTTCCCCTCATGGAGCCCCTATGTTTGCAGGAAAGGCAGCTAGGACACGAATAGGTCCACCACTAATTCACGAACACCTATGGGGCTGCATGTTATGAAGAGGTTCGGGAGAAGGAACGAGCCAGCGCACAGGTCTGCCAGGAATCCCCAGGGAGCTGGAAGTGTTGCATCGTGTTGGTGCTCGAACGGAGACAATTGTGCTGAACACATTTTGGCCCTCTTACTCCTTAGCAGTCCTCCAAAGGCCCTAGAGCTTTTACATTTGTGCCTTTCACACATTCCTTTGTATTAAGGGTTTTTTTTTTTCCCTTACAGAAGAAAAAGCACAGCATCAGGAAACACACACACACACACACACACACACACACACACACCCTTTATTCTTCCAATGATTACATAACTCTGAGAAATCCTTCCAAGACTTGCCGTGAAACTCGACCAAACCTATAAACTTCTTGAAGCTTAGTTGGCAGAGAAGCCTATGCCAACAGAACATAAAACCCTTCGTGGCTGGGTGTTCCAGCAGTCTGAATTCATATAAAAACGTCTGGGCCCCTGAAGCCTGCTCAACAGAAGCTTCGAGCTTAGACATCAGCTCTCCCGAACAATTACAACTTGGAAATTCTCACTGGAAAAGTGGGCTCATCGTGGGGAGGGGAGACGGGGAATTATGCCGACAGGGACCCGGGGAGAAGGGCCGGGGAAAAGAGGTGTAAACTCTAGTCGTGAGGATTGCTTGGGGGAGAGAGGGATTATTTGAAGGAAATTGCACCGGAAAATGGAACCTCGTGTAGGCGACTGATGGTAAAATCAGTTTTTTCGTGTGGGCAAAGCAGCTGGACCCAAGAGGCAGAAGGAGTGTGAAAACCCAAGAGTCTCTGAGTCAGAGACTGCCAGGCATCTTGGGTGGTAGGCCAGGGGCATGTGGTATAAACACGGGAGGGGGAAAGGGAAAGGAAGTTTGGGGAAGGGAGAGAGAAGCCTAGCACGAAGGCACACCCAAGGACAAGTTCCCCCTTTGTCGCCTGTCAGTGGGGCCCTGGGACTTCGGCTGCCCATAGCTGACCCTTCCTTTCAGCCTCACGAAATTCTGAGGATTGTGGGAAGTCACCGTGGGAACAAAACAGGGGAATGTCCTTCCAGAAACCAAAAAATGATGACACATCGCCTACCCCTTCCTCCAACGCAAGTGGTGTCGATGGCACCATCCGATGGGGAGGGTGGTGGGCAGAAAGCTACCAATTTGCTTCGAGACCCTCTGGCTTTCGCACGACCAGAACACAAAGCAGAAGCGAGGCTGCTGGTCAGAGATAAAACCAGAGAGAACTTACAAGATTAAAGAAGGTGAAGGCTAGAATTCCATATGGAGACCCAGAAGCCACCGGAGATTCACGAAGAGCCTCTGTGTAGTTTCAGACTCCCGACTCTACTGCCCCGTACCCAGACCTGCCTGCTGAAACGTGTGAACGTCATGGGTTAGCGTGGTCAGCCTGGACCCTCGGCTCTTCCCTCTGGGGCCTCACCGGCTCTGTCAAACACTGAGGAGCACCGGTCCGGTAGAAGGCACTGGAAAAGTAGACCCTAGGCCTGCCCCACGGGGGCTTCTGTCTAGTTGGGAAGAAAAGCAATGAACGTAGGGAGAGGCTGGCAGGAGTGGATTATTTTTTTCCTTCCAACTTGAGACAAACCTCAGTACATTTTTAGGCTGAGTGTAGAAGGGAGGGTAATAGGTTTCTCATTTTGTTGTTTTTTAGGTAACTTTGCAATAAGTTGAATAGCCGACAACAGCAACAAATAGCTAACCTAAAAGCATAGGGCAGCATTTATAGTGCCCTACCATTTATATTTGAAAAGGAGGGATGAGCGCACGTTTACCTATTTCCTTGTATGTGCGTAAAACATTTCTAGAAGGGTAGGTAAGAAACCAGCATTAACAGATTGGCTCAGAGGACAGGGGAACAGGAGGAGGGGAGGGTTGGACACCAGGGTTGAGAGACTTTCCATTCTGTTCCCTTTTGCGCCTTGTGATTTTTCTTTTTTTTTTTTAAATTTTTTTTTTCAACGTTTTATTTATTTTTGAGACAGAGAGAGACAGAGCATGAACGGGGGAGGGGCAGAGAGAGAGGGAGACACAGAATCGGAAACAGGCTCCAGGCTCTGAGCCATCAGCCCAGAGCCCGACGCGGGGCTCGAACTCACGGACCGCGAGATCGTGACCTGGCTGAAGTCGGACGCTTAACCGACTGCGCCACCCAGGCGCCCCCTACCTTGTGATTTTTCAACCACGTGAAGGCTTTCCCCATTCAAAAGAAAGTAGTTTTTAAAATTGTCAATAGTTGCCAAGGCCTACTGCGTGCCAGGCAGAGCACCCGAGACCTCAGTGTCCTTGTCTACAAAATGGGAATAACGATGGTAAAGAAGGAGTAGGAGGAAGAGGAGGAAGAAGGGAAGAAAATGATGATGGCGATGACGACGACGACGACAAGGACGATGACGATGAGGAAGGAAGAGGGGGAGTGAAGGAGAGGCAAACGGTATCAATGGACTGTTGTGGGGATTCAATGAGTCAATGTGTGTAAAGTGCTCAGCACAGGGTGTGACACAGGTCATGGCGACACCCGAGGCAATGGTCGGTAGGAGTAATATTCGTAGTATTGGTAACATTAGGAAGGAGAGACTCAGAGGGATTACTTCTGCCGTGGACGATGGGGGGAAAGCATGATGGGGACGAGGCATGTGAGCTGGCACTTAATAGATGGAAGGCTGGGTCAGATCTTCCAGGAGACAGCCAGCCGGCAGCACGGCCCAGGCAAAGGCTTGGAGCTTTGTTGGTGTTGCTGAATGCTTGGCTTTGGTCCACAGAGCGAAGCGGTTAATCAGCTGGGAGGGGGCGCGAGGGAAGAGAGGGGGACTTGATCTGGAAATGCCAGATCATGGGGCACCTTGGAGGCTGTGCTGATGTTTTCTTGCCTCTCTGTCTCTCGCTCTTAACACCTGGTCATCTTGTCAAATCAAATCTGTCCCCGCTTTGGCGGAGTGTGCCCGACACACGGAAACTCACTCACTCTGCAGACAGCAGATAGGGTGCTTTTAAGGACAAGAATCCTGTTATATTTCTTCTTTTTGTCTTTAATAATAACTTGTGAGATAAGTAAATATCGTTGCTGCTTGTGCGGCTGTTGATTAAGCGTTCTATGTTCATCAAAGGTATCCCGATGGATGAGTGGTAGCTTGAGGTCCTCTGTGTTCCCTTTGTTTTGTTTGCTTGGGGTCTTTTTTTTGGTGTGTGTCTTGGGGGAAGAGATACCTTTGACTAGGATCTGCCTTAAGACACTAGGTTATAAGAAAAATTGAATGTGGAACATATTATGTTGAGATAACATTTTATTATGGGTGTTTATTGCTCTGGCAGTAAATTAAGGAACCCTTAGCTGGCTTGCATGTACTTAAAGAATAGTTACCGAATGTTTCAGGGATTCAACGCAAAACATAAATTTCCTATTGCCCTCTCCAAGCATTTAAATTGAGCTGACTGAGAGTATCTTGAGATCCTAAAGTATCCTTTCTGTAAATGTCTCTTGATCTATAGGATCCTGACATGGTGATGACTAAGAATGAAACAATAAGAAGTTGAATTACATTGTACACAAGACTCGAATGTCACGGAGAATACCTGATTTCACATTTTCATCATCACAAAAGGCTGGTTTCCCCAGCGTCTGATCTTACGTGTGGTATATATTAACATTCTGAATGTCTTAAATTTAAGAGGTGAAAAAAATACTAATATTATCTACTTTTTAAAAATTTTTTTAATGTTTATTGATTTTTGAGAGAGACAGAGACAGGATGCGAGTGGGTTAGGGGCAGAGAGAGAGGGAGATGCAGAATCCGAAGCAGGCTCCAGGCTCCGAGCTGTCAGCACAGAGCCCGACGCGGGGCTCGAACTCATGAGCTGTGAGATCGTGACCTGAGCCGAAGTCGGACGCTCAACCGACAGAGCCACCCAGGCGCCCAAATATTATCTACTTTCTTTATTGATGTTCCCTGTGAAGTTTTTTTTCCCCCAGATTGTTTTTCTTTTTAAGAAGGATCTTTCGGCTTGATGACAGCAGTAACGATGATGGTGAGAGAGATGATAATGACCATGAGAACGTTTGAAAACATACCCGTGAACACTCACAGGTCTTTCAAGCCTGGGTTCAAACCTTACATCTGCCGTTTACCAGCTGCCGACCTTGAGCAAGCGAGCTAATGTGGTGTGTTTTCTTGTCATAAATTAAAAATAAGCCTGGGAATGCAAGCTGGTGCAGCCACTCTGGAAAACAGCATGGAGGTTCCTCAAAACACTAAAAATACAACTACCCTATGACCCAGCAAGTGCACTACTAGGCATTTATACAAGGGATACAGGGGTGCTGTTTCGAAGGGACACGTCCACCCCCATGTTTATAGCAGCACTATCAACAAGAGCCAACATATGGAAAGAGCCCAAATGTCCATCAATGGATGAATGGATAAAGATGTGGTATCTGTATACAATGGAGTATTACTCGGCAATCAAAAAGAATGAAATCTTGCCATTTGCAACTGCGTGGATGGAACTGGAGGGTATTATGCTAAGTGAAATTGGTCAGTCAGAGAAAGACAAAAACCGTATGACTTCACTCATGGGAGGACTTTAAGAGACGAAACAGATGAACATAAGGGAAGGGAAACAAAAATAATATAAAAACAGGGAAGGGGACAAAACAGAAGAGACTCATAAATATGGAGAACAAACAGAGGGTTGCTGGAGGGGTTGTGGGAGGGGGGATGGGCTAAATAGATGAGGGGCACTAAGGAACCTACTCCTGAAATCATTGTTGCACTATAGGCTAACTAATTTGGATGTAAATTCAAAAAAATAAATAAATAAAAGAAGTTAAAAATAAAAAATAAGAACCCTTCGTGCTTCTTAATGTTCTCGCAGGGATGACAAAGAGGTGGGTTCTTTTGATCAACTCCTACTCCTGAGTGGAGACTTCCTGGAGAATTATCTTTTCACCAGGGAAGCACTCAGACATCAATTAGTGATGTCTGCCCTGGGCACAAGAGGGAGAAATGGCCTTCCAAAGGCCCCAGCTCTCCTAAAGGCAGCTTAGAGAAAGGCAACTCTGAAAAAGTAAATGATTCACACATTATTAACCCAAAAGCAGTAACGATTTCCACATGGACTTCCCTAGAGTGGTTTCTCTTCAAATAATATACACTTTTATACTGCTATACACATACATATAGACATATATATACACATGTATATGCATTTAAAGGCATATCTGTATCTATCATCTAGCTACCTATCTTATCTATCTATCTTTCCATCAATCATCTATCCATTGAGAGAGAAAGAGGTTGCAAAGCAAACTATAGCAAACAAGATAGATTTACATAGAACCACAGTTCCAAATCCTTGGTTAGCACCTATTTGCGCAGCAGGCAGGGTCCACGTGCTGCTGGTGTCTAGCCTCCTGTCCTCAAGGAGGCACTCTGCACCTTTTGGTCATGGTCCTGCAGCTCAGTGGACCTCCCTCTCCCTCTCTCAGACTAGGCTCTTGTGGCACACAAACCTTTGGCTGGGAAGGGAGAAATTTTTTTTTTGCCAAGTGGAGAACTTGAGGGATGCTTCTTTCTCGTCTGACTTGTTTCTTTGGTGTTTAGCGATGGTTAATTCTAAGCAAAATGTAGCTCCTTGCGAGAAGAAGTTGTTAGAAGTGTGTGTGTAAATATAAATGTGTGTGTATACGTACATTTAATATATATTTCAAAAGGTCTTTTTGGACATCAAATGACTCTTGCAAAACATGTTGATGAGTTAAGTGTAAATGAATCAGAAACATGTGGCTTGAATTCCCTTCAAAATACCCTAGGGTTTAAAATGGGGGCGGGGGGAGCGGTGGTGGGGAAGGTACTTGGAGAAGAAAAAAAATACATTTTGGGTCTTGCTGAACCTAAATCATTTGAAAAATAGTTTAAGATGTTTGCTAAATCCAAAAAGCAGCTCTGCTCCCACCATATGGCAATGTCAAAGTGGCTCTTTAGATAGCTTAAGCCTAATTTTAATTTCTTGCACATGTGGTAAAAACATCTTTGTGGACTCTCTTAAGCCACTGTTCAAGGGAGCGGTCGGATTTTTTTTTTGCATCTCATTTGCATAACAATGACCACCACCCCTGGCTCTCCTTGTCTGTTGCACAGGCCAAGGCCTCATCGGACCTCTTGGACCTATTTTGTTGGCTGAGGTACCCCACTGGGGTCATCTTTTCTGTCCACGCTCCAGGATTTTGCGACAGGCCCTGTATTCCCCAATCTGACTGGTTTCCGTTGGGACATTTGCTTTCGCTTGGGAGTACATATGTGGGCACTTGGAACATTATTCCCAGGTCTTGCTGAGTTTCCTCTGAGTCCCCTCCCAAGTAATCACTGCAGGATGCTCCCTATTAAGCAAGCTGGCCACATTCTCAGGGATCGGGGTCATTAGGTATCGCTTCCAGTGGTTGCAAATATCCCATGGTCCTCCGGGCTATCTCTCCAGCTGCACAGATCCATCCCAACAATCCAGAGTGGCGCAGGGAAAGGTCTAGAACAGTGGTTTTCAGTGGCACCCCGCTAAGGGGGTGGGGTCTCAGAAACGTGTGCGGGCGTCCTTTAGTCACACTACTGGTGGTTAGCGGGCAAGGGCTGGGGATGTGAAATGTCCTGAACTAAACAGAACAATCTCACTCTATGAAAAAACGGCCCTGGTTCCCGCAGGACTCTCGAATGCGCCACGGGACAGGCACTCACGTGGGTGAAAAGTCTGTTAATGATCAGCTGTGCCCAGAACCTAACCCTGGTGTGTATATATAAGAGCACGAGTCCTTTTTTTCTCCATTTCAACGTACCCCGGATTTTCCATACCCGCCACATCCAGGGGAAAATCGGACTTGGCCGTGTTGGTGACAGGATGGAGAAACGTCACTCACGACAATGCCATTAGCAGGCCCGGAGCGGCCTGCCCGGTGCCACACGGCTCCCCCACGGGAGCTGGAACGGTAGCGGTGGGGTGCACAGCAGGTCTACACGGAGATGCAACACGGATTGTTGGTCACGCGCCCCCTTGTCCTGCTTCTGGCGGTTATGGGACCATGTGCACGTGAATTACGGGTAGGTAGGTTGTGTGAGCCCCAAGTCACGCGTGCACGTTTTGTTATCTCTGATTTTCACTTCACTCTGCTAAAGGGAGGTTACAAAACGTTTGTCACAAAAGCTGGCACTGAGTGTGACATGGGGACCAGAGCCAGAAGTGCCAGGTCATGAAGTAACGTGGAAGCAAGAGGTAGTAACCCCGGATGTGGTTTGTGTCTACCACCGGCTGAGCCTCCGTCTCCCCCCCGCGCCAACCGTGAGAACGTTAGACTTCGTCGCTGGGCCACGAATTTAAATCCCTCAAACGTAGTTGAGCGAAAAGGACCATACGTCTGCATATGAAACTCAGGAGAACATTCTTCGTTATTCCGTAGGGGAATGTGCCCTCTGCCATTTTACACCATACAGTCGATCCTTGAACAACAACGCACGGGTTTAGGGGCATCAGACCTCCCATCCCTGTAGAATTTTGACTCCCCGAAAGCTTAACTACTGATAGGCCGTTGACCGGAAGCCTTATCAATAACATGAATCGTCGATTAACACATATTAGGTATGTGTTATATACTGTATTCTCACGATCAAATCAACTAGAGGAAACAAAACATAAGTAAGGAAATCATAAGGGATAGAAAATACACTTATGGTGCTGAGCTGTATTTATTGATAAAAAAAAAAAATCTGCATATCAGAGGATCTGCAGAGTCCCGTGTTGTTCAAGGCTCACCTATGCAGGCAACAATTTGAGGTGCTGGGGTTTTTTTTTTAATTTTTAAAAATGTTTTTATTTATTTTTGAGAGAGAGCATGAGCGGGGAGGGGCAGAGAGAGAGAATGCAAAGCAGGCTCTAGGCCCCAAGCTGTCAGCACAGAGCCCCGCCCGGGGCTCAAACTTGTGAACCGCGAGATTGTGACCTGAGTCGGAGTCGGACGCTTAACCGACTGAGCCACCCAGGCGCCCCAAGGTGCTGTTTTATTTTACCTCTTTGTATAAGGATATCGCCACAGATGGATTTCTCTGGATTTTGAGAGGGCAGTGCAATGATTCACAACAGCTGAGACTCAGCCTCGGTGATGAAGAGGGGAGAAAGAGAGACAGACGGACCGACAGACAGACTGGGGAAAAATACACCTAGTTAAAGACTTCTAGATGCAATGAATGCTCGGATTACCATTAGCTCTGAAAATCTAGTATTCTAACCCAGGAGCCAGACAGGTTTTCCATGAGGGCGCAGACAGTAAACGCCTTAGGTTTTGGAGGCTGTATGGTCTGTACCACAATCATTGTTGCACAGAAACGGGCTCAGACAACATTTATAGATGGGTGCGCTCTGTTCCAACAGAACATTACAATAGGTGGGGGGGCTGGATTGGGCCCCTGGGCCACCCTCTGCTGACCCTGGTCCTTAGTAACGGACAACTCTCAACACAGGCCTGCAGACCGCCGTCAAAAGCAAAGAACAGTTGGTTTTTATTTTAAGATTATTAGATCAAGTTCAAGCTCTCACTTGCTAACACGTTTGGGCGACTTCTCTTCTTCTTACACCGATAAGAGCAATTGCATCGATATTCCCTCTGACCCTTTCCTCATTTACACGTTTTTTACAGAGGACTCGTTGGTAACGATGCAATGAACAAACGTGAAAAAAGAAATGCTCTGTGATTTCCACTCATGTTGGCTAACGGGG